CGGGGGAGGGGGAGGGTGGTGACAGGACCGTCGCGGAGCCGTGTTTTCCTGGGGGCTCTGGGGGCTGGGAACGGGCCCGGGCCTAGGCCCGGGGTTGGCCTCCGAGCGGTCTCGGGCCGCTGGTATTCAGTTCCTTTCCTCCGAGGTCGTTTAGTGTATGTTGGTTTCGGTGATTGCGTTTAAAATGTGCCATCGCGAAGTGCTGCTTGAAAATAACATTCGGTATGTTCTTTAAGAAGGCTCCGCTGAGTGAAGGAGAGCTGCCTGGCTGCGCTGCGGGAGCCGGAGGGTTCCTCTCGGGGGTGGCCGAGCTGCACTGGGTAAGTCCGCACGCACCGGGGGCGGGGGGAGAATATGAGCGACTGCTCGGGCCTCCGTGGTGCAGTCTGATTTAGAAACATAATCTCTTCTCCCGGTTGTAGGACTGGCCTGCATGTGATTTGTTTGAAGTGCCATTTCCTCATTTCTGACCTGGGACTTACAGCAGCTTCTTCGTTTTGAGATCTGACGCAAGTAACATTGTGGTATACTGGGACAGAATCAGGTAAATTTAACACTGGCTTTTAAAACTGTACAGCGTTTTAATTCACCAAAATGCAGGGCAAGGCAACAGTCTTAAGCTGTGCCAGGGGAGATTTATGTTGGACATTAGAAGCAATTTCTTCACACAAAAGCATGATGAAACATAGGAGTGGGCTGCTCAGGGTGGTGGAGTCATCATCCCTGGAGGTGTTTAAGGAAAAGACTGGACATGACACTTTGTGTCCTGATTTACTTGGCATGCTGATATCCAGTCATAGGCTGGACTTGATGATTTCAGAGGTTTTTTCCAACCTAATTGATTTTGTGATTTTGTAAAAAGCTAGTAAACCTAGAAAAACTACGTACAGTTAAGTCAGCAGCCTCAGTACCTAATAAAGTTATATTTAGTCCTCACTAAGGCTCATCACTCAATATGTTTTGATGTCATAAAAGTAAATTATTTTGCTCTGCTCTCTTCTGGAGAACCAGAAATATTTAGATATTAAAAAGATGGATGCAGGGAAAGGAGGGAGACGAATTTCTTCTGGAGTTACTCTTTGCTCTTAAGTTCAGCACTTCAGTAACTTGGACTGATGTTTTCATACTTGTCTGAAGCTGGCTTTCTCGTACTGGAAACCGACATAAAAAATTTTATGAGTCTTGCACTGCAGAACTAAGCTCTGGGTGCACTGCATGAGAAGAGTTGTTAAGTAATTTTCCTTTCTGTCTATTGCATAATACCTGTAATCTCACAGTTCAATTTCTAATTGTGTGATTTACTTAGGAGTAATAGGGAATCTCCTGTCAGCATTGCAGTTGTTTTGTGTTCTGTGTTTTGTCTGTATGTCCTTTGCGATAACCTGGTGCTTATTGTTTTTTACATTGATGAACATGTTTTGGGTACAAAATATTTAATAATAGCAACAGATAGAAGTAGCAGAAGTGAAGGAGTATGAACTCCTGGAAACAAAAACTCTAAAGTTCGTACATGTCCCAGAATTCCTTCAGCCACTCTGTTTTGATGTGATCTCAATTCATTAGGCTTCTAAAAGCATGCCTTGAGCTTTGGAGGGGAGAGGATTGGGATTTTGGTGATGGAGCTTTGTAGACCCACTGCTAATCCATAGTGTTTTACTCCTCACAACTTATTAAACATACAGGGGAAAATACATATCTGTGTGGATCTTATTCATATGAGTTAAATTTAATTTATAATCAACTCAAACTAGTTTTTAACAATTGGAAAGTCAGGGAACCAAAACATTTCTTAATTAAACAGTCCTTAGGCTCGCTGAAGTAAAACTCAAATATCCTAGTTATTCTTTTGTTCTCAAGATAAACTGTGCATTCTTTTGTTAATCAAATTGTATTATAAACTGCTGGAAAAATTAATTTGGTAAGACTTGACAGATTAAGATTTTTTGGTTTTGTATGGAAAATATGATAATATTACCAGTTTATAAAACTGAAAACCATTTGATGATCCAAAAGATGTTTTTGGGGATTCCTCAAGAGAGCTTTCTTTGTTTTACCTTTTTCAATTTGTTTTCATTCTATTGCTTTTCAAGTACTTCCGGAATACATTGAAAATTCCTTTTCATTTAT